AAAATTTTTAAGCACCCCCTTTTTTCACCTACTTAAAACCACCATAACTTCAAATTGAATTAATTCTGGGAGCTATATTAGTGGAAATTAAAAATTTATTCTAAACAAGACTTAAACGGAGCGACCGATTGACATGAAATTTATTTTTATTTATTCAATAAAACAGGACAGATATAAATTCGTAAATAAATTAATTAATCAAATTAATTAATAAATATACACGGAGAGAAATATAGAACCAAGATATTATGAGCAATCTCTTATTTAATATTATTAGTTGATGTTCACAACTTGTAGTCGATAGTCGAAAGCTCAGTCAGTGTCGAAGAGTCGTCGTAGATGAAATTACAAATATTAAAAAACCTCTACATAAAGTCCCATTTTTTCTGGGTATCTTGCCGCCCCCCTTTAGGCCTGCAGCGCCCACAAGGGGGCGTTATTGCCCATTTAGGAAGGGCTGGTTTACACTTTCTACTATATGCTTTATTTAGATCTAGCATAACAGTAGTAGCATATTCTTACAATGTACTATATCTACGAAGAACTTTTCTTTCCAATTCCATTTTGACTATTATAATAAATCGATTTCTTCTCACAGAAAAATCTTAGATGACTTATCATGGCAGTTTCCAAAATCTTTAAATACACGGGTCATGAGTGTAATAGGTCGTTTGTTTGGTTTTATTATAACAGGCTTAAACAGATTAGGAAAAGTGGCTTCTAAACATTATTAATTAATTAACTCTTTAGGTCCTTTTTGTTAAGCTGATTTGAACCTATACAGATAAAGTATTCATTCATTTAATTCGCGTCGCGATAAAATTAAGATTTTCTGTAGTCTTATTTTTCATTTCTTGTCTATTTTTTTGTATAATTAGCTCTTTTTTATTTTTTCTTTCTTTTATTATCCGTTACATGGATTTTGACTGGTACTGCGAAAAAGTAGCCTATTTTCGCGTGACACGGGGTTGCATCAATCCTGCCACCCCAGCTCCTCCAGGAAGCCCATAAGGTCTCGAACTCTACCGCATGCCTCCACTAGTGTCCTTACCTAGATAAGTAGTCCTTTGTCTTGATAGGCTTCTACATCCCAGTAGGACATGAGCGCTTGTTATAAAGATGTTTGTTAAAGTTTCCATGTCAAGTAAGTATACCTACTATTTGCCTTAGAGTTTGTCTAGGTAATTTCTTCAACTCCGTGCTAGTCATAGGCTTACCTTCGAAATCGCTTCTTTGGTTTGCCTGCAGTCTGCCGTTTGTGGCCAGTATTCTTCAAGTTGCCGAAAACTACGTTCTCTTGGTATATTAATAAAATATTCATCAAATATATTAGCAATTTAATCATGACATTTGATGGTCATATTTTATAATTAAATGTCAGAATATCTTCACGCATTTGTACCTTACCATTTACGCGGTTTATTAAATTCCAAGTTGTTTGGATATTGTTATTGGAATTCTTTATTTTCTCTTTAATAATATTTTTTTGTATAATTCATAGTTTCTTTCTTATTTATATATATACAGAATATATGTATATTATATGCGGCATGCGTTCGCAACTCCAGGCAGCTCCAGCGCGGTTCACTGAATAAAGTATAGACACAACACTACACTTTTTAATGCAAATAAATTTCGGTTCATGGAAATATAAGTTTTCTGTCTTGCTATTCTTATAATATCAATGTAAGTATTGGATTATTATTTTCACTTGACAAATGTGTTTTATACTCTAAATAATTATCTTTATTGCTGAGGTACATGCCTTCCGAAGGGATAAACTGATGGATACTTACCACTTCAGATGCAGCCAGGTCTTACTGCACAACGCGTTTTGCGAAGCACGGAAGATGTACAGATAGTAAATTTCTGATCACCAACCTCGGCTTCTCACAACTAAAGCTTTACCACAGGCTTCATATAATTATATATCTAAGTATGAACGTATAAGATACTAGTTGTTTCGCGTGACTTAATTTATAGCCTATGTGTTCTCGCGTACGTGTACGTGTAACTCGCGTACGTGTAAACTCCCGTATGTGAAAGAATTTTTGAAATCAGTGCAGTTGTTTTAGTGTCTATCCAATGTAAACAAACCAATCTTTCCAGTTTCAAATATTTTAGTAAAGATAAGTCAAAATAGCTGGCGGCAGCATCCTAAAAAGTTAGGATTTATAACTTTTTTGTTATTCTATAGATATTGAACTAGTTGGCTAGTAAGCTGGATTTTTTTATAATATTGTTGATAAAATATTAGAAAAAATACTGTTTTAAAAATAAATTATTGAGATGGTCGAAAAGGATCCGATAAAAGCAGTTGTGATAATTCGTGAAAAGATTATTTATAGCGATTGATGTCACAAGTATTATTAATAAAACGTCCACATATTGTGAAAAATCTATAAATGAATGAATGTATAAGTATTGTATATATTGCACAGTAACTCATGGACATAAAACACATATAGTTAGAAACATAGATGCAAAAGGCGGCCTTATTGTTTAGGTAGCAATCTCTACCAGGCTATCCTACCCAGGCTACAAGAAACTATACCGATTGAGTAAAGAGACTGCGGGCTAGTGAATTAAAGAAAGAAAAATGAAAAACATTTATAAAAGTAAATACATACAATAATACATAAATAAATCCAAAATAATATTTCAGGAAGACGGATCCAGCTTAAGGAAATATTCCTTGACTTGTTTAACAAAGGACTCCCATGATTGTGCGCGTCTGATATTTACAGATATAAAATTACTTGACTAAGAAAACAAATGTATGGGAAGGGTTCAATATTAAAGGGTTATGGGAAGACCTCTATCCAATATTATATATAATGTATTTTTTTTAAATCCTTATAATGTGATAAAATTGGTATTTGAGTACATAATTGATAACAAAAATAACATTTAAAATAAATATTTTTGAAAATATTTAAGCACAATTAATTTAATATGTGAAAGAAAACACAAACTATATATTTTGTGCTATACTAGATGGTTTTAGTATATTTCTACATCGCACTGCTTTGGTCATGGTTGAGTTTTAATTTTTTTTCTATTGTAATTTTAAATAATGTAGTTTAATTGACTTTGTGATATAATTTATTAATATGAATTATTAAAATAATCTACTTGACATTGTCAAAATTCTTAATCTCTTTGACATTCCTATAATGATTTGACTCAGAAGATTTTAATTTGAATTGTAAAAGATTGGAAATAAAATGTAGTAAGAAAAGCTTTAAGCTTCGCTTTACTAGATGGCGTTTATTCTATTTTAAGCTGCGTTATCGTTTTCGGTTTTCGATGAAGTTTTATATAAACTTTAACATTTGTGTTTTTCTTTCCATCTGTATTTGAAATCGGATAAATAGCTTTATGGTTTTCAGAGACGACGTACTGAAACCTTTGACCCGAAACATATTGGACATTAGTTGTGATATTAGTCGGTTAATTACATGTGTGGCTGTTGCTGTGCTTTAAATAAATAAATATAGCTTTTTGCTGTAGTGTCTTCGAAGTTTATTTTATTCTAATATTTTCCTCAATTTAAACTCGAAAAATACCATTGTGAGTTTAAAAGTCAGCCAAGCAATTGTAGTTTATATTGTGTTTAGTCTGTTTATTTTGGTAACTTCTGGTAATCTCTTATTACCTATATGCTATAATGAGCTCGTAATGAGCGAGCGAGAAAGATAATCGATTACTTATTCCATACTAATATTATATAGTGAAAGTAGGTTTGTGTATTGTAGGTATATCTCTGTTCAGCTCTCACGCCTAACCCACTAAAAATAGTTGACTTGATATAGGGCATACTTTGCTTTTTATTGTGATAAAAAGTTTGAAATAGGAATTGAAAGTTTTTATGGAAGTTCATGATACTTTAAATTCAGGTATGATATTTATTTCACCGTTTTTAGAAATGCTGCTCAAAGTTAATATACAACGCGGACGAAATCGGCGAATGTTATTGTTTAATAAAGAACTGTAGTATATCATTTAAAACCACCGATAGCTTACTTCAAAATAATCGAATAAACTGCGAACACTTTTTTTATTTCACTATTGATTCGGTCATATATTACTAATATAGCTGTTTTCCCGCGACTTCGCGACCGTGTAAATTATAGCTTAATACTTCACCCGCGGATCATGCAGCTTCCCGTGGGTGAAAGAATTTTCTAAATCGGTCCAATAGTTTCGGAGCCTATTGAATAGGCAAACAATGAAAACATAACAAATCAAATCATTCCTATTTATAATATTATATAAGTATAAAGACTATAAAGTATATTAGTATTTTTTGACATTCAATAAATAAAAAATTTGTGTCAAATTTATGGGGAATAGTTTTTGCTTATTATTATTTAAATACGAGTATTGCTAGAAAAAGACATTAATAGCATTATAAATTTTGTAAAAAGGTATCCATTATAATGATTAAGACGCACACCTAAACGATTTACACGTATATATTATAAATGCGTGCATTTCAGCCAAAGATGCACACAGAAAATAAGCAATAAGGCCGTGTTGCACGACTGTTGGGCATTCAGTCATTCTCCGACTACAGAGCGCTCCAGTCGTAGCGCGTAGCGCTTGTCTCGTAGCTGCTGCGAACTTTAAGAAACTTCGGACTTTGCTCGTAGTATATGTGTATTATTTTTATTTGGTCTTATCAGTGAATATATAAACTAAGAAACTTTCAGAATAATCTTTAGTGTGTTATTGTAGTTATGTTGTGTATTACCAAAAAATAGTTATTTAAATAAACATTTAATAGTATATAAAACTACATTCCTACATTAAATTAATAATATTAATGTTAATTAAGGCTCGTCATTAAATATAGTTTTCATCTGAAATTTATTAATCTAGTATAAATTATATTGATCGTAGCGCTTGTATCGTAATACAAGCGTTAATAATAAAAATAATAAAGCTAACTTCAAATTAAACATGTCGATTTAACTGTATAAGAAAAGTAAATCAAAATGACGGACGGCGAAATTTACCTGCGCGTAAACGAGACAATGGGACAATTCTACAGACGCTGCACAAACTTGACTTACTTCGATTGTAGCGAAGAGGAGATGTTATGGTGGATGATGGGGCCGAGGAGGCTTTCCCTACATGAGATAGTGCCGATATCGGTGGTGCTGCTGGTGATATTCGTGACCGGAGTGGCGGGCAACGCCGCGGTATGCGTGGTTATAGTACGCCACCCGGCCATGCACACCGCCACCAACTACTACCTGTTCAGTTTGGCGCTGAGCGATCTCCTCTTGCTGCTGTTCGGTGAGTAACGTTTGAACAACACTTTTTGTAATACTTTAACCTTATAGGGCAATAGCTTTCTATATGAAAGCTATGCTACGACAGAGACGGAGATGCTTGGACCCTTGTGAATTGTGGACCAAACACACTAACTACTGCGCCATCGAGTTCCTCTCTAACATCCTGCGTATTTCCATTTGAAGTCGCCGCAATGGATTCGGTACATCTTCGTATAATATTAACATTAATCGTAAGTCTTTATATTTTATTCATTCCGTAGAATACTCTGGGTAGTGTTTTTTATTGTGGTTGAAAAATGTAATCCTTTGTTAGACATTCAAACGGATAGATTGACGGGTAGACTATTAACTTATTATTCATCACGACAGCGAGCCACAGATACACGTATTCTGTGAAAAACCTATTATGACTGACAAGACACAGCGCCGTCATAGATAGAGAGACGGAAACGTTTTTATTTAGATATTTATAAACCACCGCGGCCTGAGATCTATAAATATCTAAATAAAAACGTTTTCTGTAATAACATGGTTTTGAGAGTTTTTTTTTACGTCTGGGGTTAAATAAATTATTTGGAATCAATAGGGAAAGTATTTTTAAACCTATAGTTGATATATCTTGAATTTTATTTCGCTTTATCGTTTACTTTGTAATGAGGATAACATTTAGACTGAAAACTTTCAAGCCTTTTGTTTAGCAGTTCTAAAGGTATTCGTGTTCCTATAATATCGTTATATATTAGTATTAGTATGTGTTTAAAAGAAAAATTGAATAATCCAGATTACATTATAAGAACGATCAAAACCAATCTTAAAAAAAACCGAGTTCAGTCGAATAAATTACGACACGAGATATTGTGTATATAATTGTGAGCCTCATGTTTCATATTGATATTTCATGCGAAAATGCTTTGTTTTTACTGGAAGTGGATACACAAATAAATAACTCATAGAAAATACCAACTTATTATGTAGATATTTGTTTCCAATGTCTGAAATATATATACGCGTATAGAAGTCTTATTTACGGTCTATTATAAAAAAAAGAAAATACTTGTATTATCGTTTGTAATAAATATATTCATACAATTCTTCAGCATAATGATATTGATATATTTGGGATAAGCCCGTATATTATTCAGTAATTATATAAAGTTGTTTCCTAAATATCCCTCGGGAACAGCCGTAGGGTTGAGTTATTATTTATTAAAAAAAAGTCTAAAACACCACTGATTGAAAATAATGGTTTCCACCCAATTTCATCTATAGGAAAGGCCTGTTATACAGTAGGGGTTATCTTTACATATAGTTAATGCAGTTTGAATCAATATATAGAATGATTCAAGAGGAAGGTTTCATATATACAAAACAGAACTAAGCGGGCAAAGTTGCTGGCGGAAAGCTAGCAAGTACATTATAAAAACAATGTGCTTGATAGTGTAGTGGTTAGCACGTTATATTCTACATTCCGCCTGAGATAACTGATGGTACACAACTATTGCATAATACCAACAAATTATTCGACCTCCTCCGAGCTTATGGGGCGAGGGCCACAGGTCCCGGCCCCATCTGCAGTCGTTGACACACACCAATGCACACTCGGCCAGTATAGTGAATATAAGGACGGATTTTGCAACACAAAATCGCGCATTCGATAAATATAAACATGAAATACTACAAAATGGATTGTTTTTGTGGTACCTACAAGCCGGAGTAGTTCATGTGAAAGGAGGTTTATTAGTGTATAATTTATTAAGATTTTCTTGACATTGGTAAAGACGATTATTTGAACTTGAAGATAATTAGCTAATAATAAATTCTATTTTGCAATGGTAACTTTACGTAAATTCACTTCATTAAGGTTTGACGACGAATGTGGGGAATACGAGCTCGCTCATTACATTACACAGAATGTGCTAAATGACTTTAAACTTGCCTTAATAAATTATTCTGTATTCTTCTATTAATAAATCATCATACTCACCAGTCTATTAAAGTCCGCAGAGTTGAGCCACAGACACACCCATTTCTACATTCTTTAACCGTAAAATATAATTTCTTTCAGATGAAAGAAATTATCATCAATTTACGATTGTCAATGGTTTTAAAAGTGAAGCATCTCTTGAAAGATTGCGTGATTACAATAAAATGTTATTAACTTAACTCGCGAAAATTTTCGGTCATGATTTTTTATCATTACAAGTGTAATTTGACAGCGCGGCGGAATCTAGTTTTGGCGAAGAAGCACCGTGCAAGATAACTGTTTATATCTGGTCTGCAGATCAAACGCAGTCGTGTAATGTTTTGAACGACAAAAATATTAATGATGTGGCCATAAGCATGATTTAAAAACAGTAAATTAATTACACAATAATTTGAGTCTGAGAAAGCCGTATCTAGATTTGATTAATACTCAAAAAAAATGTCACATCACTCGGTACCATGTTACGCTTGCCAGATACAACGAAGGGGCTTCATATTTAGTGCGGGACATAATGGTACCATCTCAAAAAAGCAGCAAGCGAGCGTACGGGTCTTTCGAGACGAATTGGAACAAACCAAAGGGGCGCGCGTGAAAAGTGCTTCGAAGTGGATGATTGTTTTTTGCCAATAAAATCTACTATTACTTTAGAAAATCGTTGTACCGCGATAGTGACTAGTAAACGACCATTTAGTTATTTTTTTTACTGATTCCGGAATTTTTGAATGCGCAGTAGTCTAATTTAATGAAGTTTAATTACAAAAATATTCAATACTTTCTATAAGTTTTCCACCGTGCAAGAACAGAGAATAGGTAGAAAACTTGTGATGGTAATTCGATAAATCATGTCGGCGTTTGAGGCGTATTAAATTTTTAGATGTCATATAAATTGGATGCTTCGTTCTCGTTTCTATTGTACTTGTAGTATTAAAGAGAGAGCTCGACAGCGAAACGGTCCGTTTATGATTGTATTTTGAAGCTAAAGTACTACCGCCTAGTTACGATCTGTTTTTAAAGTATTTTTTAGCAGTCGTGTAATAAAAGTCTTATAACTATAGTGTACTCTGTTTAGTATGGCTTCGCATATAACCACATTTTATTATGTTATAACGACTCAGCTTATAATGACAGATCAATTAGATATTAAACATAGCTATCCGATTATAACGACGAATGTTGATGTTTTTGCAAACAATACGAAATAAAAATCGATAAGCTATCTGCTTCTATTGATATTTAGTTCATATTGTTTGCGATCATTTGGCTGTGCACCACGAACTAATGCGACTGTTTAATTCCTAATTTGCAGGTGTCGAGTGAATGAATGAATATTTTTTATTAGTGCCCGTACCAAAATGGCTAAGCGAAATAGGTTATCTATTGAATAAAAAGTGTAATATTACAACATTTCGAAGCTGGCGAGTCGGATATATTGAGTGCGATGGCATTTGGTGTAAGCCATTCGACTTTTCGCAACGAAATAAAATGTACACACACCCTTGCTGTGCGGCGGGTTTCGCGCGGGCATTCCCTTGGTGTGCGGCGAGATCTAACAATTCTCGCCGCCGGCCGCTCGCTTTGTACATTTTCGCTTCTGTTGTTAGCAATATTGAGCGGATTGATTTCGAATTTTTTTATAGTATTCTCAGATATATTATATAAAAACTTATCTATATAAAAAAGTTTTTTTTTTAAATACAGTCTTCGCAATGACGATTTGCTTTTGATATATCTTAAAAAAATGGGATTCCTTTTCATTTTCTTGAAATTTTTTGTATGTTATTTTAGTTATTAAATTAACAATAAATCGGTTCACGGGATATCGATGTCTTTTTCGGCTCGATAATATTCAATTTAAGATTAGTTCACTTTTTTCCTCTGAAAGTGTTTTATCGTTTATAGTATAAAACTTTATTTTATACTTTCAGCCAACCCATAGACAAATTTCACAAGTTAATATTATCCCAGACCACAGTTAGGAGCAAAAGAATAAAGCGGCGTGCCCACACTAAGGGTAATGTTCCACTTATTAATCATGTATATTATCCATTCGTTCCTTTTTATTCTTACATATATGCATATGCGAAATAAATTATTTCAATGTTTCTTTTTGTGTGCTGGCCACCGTGGTATGAGTAAATAAATACATGTATGTGATTATAAAACCAAAATTGATTGTTCCTTTAATACGAATTCCGGTAAGTTTAACGTATCATATGTCATCACCGATCTCTTGACCTTCGTTATAGCGAGGTCTTCAAATTCTGTGATTTTAACTTATCTTAAGTGGTTTTTAGCACTTTAGTTTTAAAAAATTGGCATTCCATGGTTGAAATCCGTTCCGTGTGATTTAGGGCAAGTTAAAAGTCTTCTAGACACAGCGAAAGACGGGCGCAGAGTGTAAGTTCAAGAACAATTTTATCTAAAAAAAATCAACTTCAAAATAACCGTAGGTGTATAGTTCTATTATGAGTTCATACTCATGCTTTGTGTCTATTGTTGTAATTGTTTTAAATTGAATTTCTTCAGTGATTGGTTAACTTGAAAAGAAGTAGTTTATTTAATTTCTTAATGAATTATTATTCGAGCTTTCAATGTAGGATTTATTTATTTTTTATTTAAAAAACCTAACCCGGACTGAAGGCTGCGTGATTTTAAGAGCCAACTCTTGCGAAAGTTCCATAATTTACGCACCAAAGATCGAAAGCGCTGACAACTGCGAAATTGCGCTCCTTCTTTAATAAGGCCCTTTATATTTTGATAACACGTTAAGCAATTACAATAAATTATCACAAGTGTGTAATTCACTCGTATATCAATAGACTTCACACGTCAAAAGCAGTAACGGTGTAAGTACAGGCCCTGATTTACTCTCATAGAGGCGGTACAATTAAGGCGTCTGTGAATATCAGATCAATGGATCTAATCTGTGGTGTAAATACAACATAAATTATATATTATTGATCATATAAATAACGACCAAATTAATGGCGACTTTGAGCTGACAGCGGCAAACATTACACTATCT